TGGCCGTGAGCTCCTGCTTCCCCCTGACACCCTCCCCACTGCTTTCATCCGGATGCAGTGCCTCTTTCCAGGGGCTCTTCAGCTCTCCCAGATCCACTTCTTCTCTGCAGCCAGGGCTCTGTCCGGGCTCTGCCCCTTCTCCACTCTCACACCCACCTAAAGATGGTACCTGGTTCACTGCTTCATTCTCCCTTTCCTTTTGGGGCCTCCCCTGACTCTTGTGCCATTGGTCCTTATCTGGTCTCGGGGTGTCCATCTCGCCCAAACTCCCTGGGGAAGTCCATGCTGGCTCCAGGTCTGCAGGCCCTTCCGCAGGAGGCTGCTTCTCAGCTCTGTGCAGCAGCCAGGCACCTCCTGTGTGGGGAAGACAAACCCCAGATTGGTCCCTGCCTTGCAGCCAGGGGCAAGCACTGATACTCCTTCTACTGGGAAGGGCCTCAGATCAGGCCTGGACCTTGGCACTTGTGTTCCCTCAAGACATCGAAGTCTTCCTGCCAAAACCCCAAGTGTTTGGTCTGAAGCAGGGGCAAGTCTCTGTGCCAGGCCAATGTGCCCTACTCGCTGGAGATGAAAACAAGACTCTCAAGAGATCATGGCCCAGGTCTCAGCCCCATCACCTCAGGCCCTGCTGGGAAAAGCACACGTGGGACACGTGCATTAGGACAGTGCCTGAAAGGCTTCATGCTCTACCAGGCCGTGGAGGAAGAAGACTTAAAGCTGTGGCTCTCTCTTCTGAGAGGACTGTGCTTCTTGCCTGCTTCCAGGGCAAGGTCAGCGCAGGAAATGAACCCATGGTGCTTTGTACTGCTGGTGGGTCCGAGGTGGTCAGCATGTCACAGGAGCCTGCAACAGGCCTAAGGCCTTGGCATGAACCTCAACCTGGACTCTGGGGATGAGTCTCAGGTTTTGTGACACTCAAGGCCAAATAGATGAAAGAGTAAAGGGGTGATTCTAGTGGAAACCACAGGAGATTCACTTCCCCACACAACACAAAGGCTTCCTAATCCCACCCATGCCATGGAGCCATTTAATGCAGCCTGAGACCACGATGAAACACTTCCTGGGTATCAGGTCAACATGAGGAGGAGGAGCCAGCAAGAACCTCAATTTCCTCTGTGTCTACAAGTAACGACTACAGAGCCTCTGCATACCAGGCTGATGTCCATGGGGGACTACCAATCCCATCATGGCCTGGGAGAGGGTGGGAGAGATATGACTACCTTGGGAAATGAGTTCCTGCATTACTGAGTGAACACGGGATATTAAGATCATGGCATCCCAGGGAAACCACATCTAAACATTAAAAAAAAAAAGGAAGACAGGAAACTTGATTGTCCCCTAGCAGAGAACATTGCTTGTCTTCGCATCAGTGAATTTCAGAGACGGGGAACAACACCTGCCTTAAAACATTGCAGCATTATGTACTGTATTTGAGGTTAGCATCTGGGAAGAGCAACATAGAGCAGGTCTGCAGTTTCCAGGTGCCCCTGGCATGCTGGGCATGGAGCATTTTCGAAAGGGGAGTCAGGGGAGGGCACAGCCACACTCACCTGGCAGCAGGTCCTCCAACCTTGAGGTTTCCCCACCATCTTCATCATCACAGACCCACAGCTCCACCTCTCCTCGCTGGATGCGGCGGATTAAGTCAGGTGTGAGACCTCCATATCCTGTTTAGGGTGGTAGTTAAAGGGGGCTCGTGACAGTTAAAGAGGGCTTGTGACTTGGTACTGGATGCAGAATAACCCACCGCAGTAGGGGAATGGATGCAATGAACTCAAGGTTTCTGCTACAGCTTGTTGGACAAGGGAAGAAGGGTATTTAGGATGGAAGAGAAGGCGCTGCAGAAAGAAGCCTTCATTAGATGATGCTCCTGGTCACCCAGGCAGTGGTGGGATGGTCACAGGAAACAAAGCACCAACCACTCCTGGTATAGAAAGGGCATTAAATTCACGGAGTGACCGTGGACAGTTGTGGAGACGCAATGATCTGTGAGCTACTAGGGAGCAGAAAGATAAAGCTTTTACTCTTTTCAAGGTACAATTTTATAACAACTGTAGCAACAACTGAGCAGTCGTGCCCTCCAATGAAAGGATCAGCCCAGCAGGGAGATGAGTGCACAGGTTTGCCAGGAAGTCAAATACTACAGGGTTTGCCGGGAACACAAAGTTGGATCTGGACAAAAGAAGGCAGAAAGACACACGTGGCACAGCATGCGGAAGCCCAGTTTGGACGGTCTCTGCTGTGCTAGAGAAATCATTCAATCTCTTCCTTATGGAAATGCTCTGGGGGAAATGGAGGGGAAAGAAAGCATCAGAAAAGACAACTGGCCTCATCAAAAGTAAAGTACCCTGACATTACGCACACGCCAAAAAGAGGGCCTGTATTAGAGATTCTCTGGAAATGAAGACTGGTTTGCACTGGTTTGCCTAGCCCACTTCTTCTCATCAGTGATGGGCTTGTGATCTGCAGAGGGATTTGAGGAGGAGAGGAAGAAAAAATTTGAGACTGGCAGAGCGAGCTTGAGGGCACAGGTCTTAACATAAATACAGCAAAGCCAAAGTCTCTGGTCTATGGAGATGAAGATGTTAGGAAGGATGGTCGACAGAAGCTTTTAGTGACCCCATGACAGAAATACCTAGGGTCCATCACCTGTACATATGTCCCAAGAGACGGACATGTAGAAATGCATCATCCATGTGTTGTAGCACCAGAGGTGGATAAGACTTCTGTTAGCTTCTTCTCGGTCATAACCAAAGGAGGAGAAAGGGAATTTAGGTATCACAGAACGGAGCACACTGGATTGATGAATGTGTTTGGACAGGACACGCTAGGCAAGAGAGGGAGGAAATGAGAACCATTCCCGGAAACAGCTCTTAGTGCACTGCTGTAGAAGGAGCTGGAGTTGGGATGAACACACTGAGAGGGCAAAGGGAGATCATGTTGCCCAGAAACAGAGGCGTACGGAAGCACCAGGAGTTACAATAGTGGGGAAGACTCAACTGAAGGTGCCTGGATGAAATGAAGGAGGATTAATCACTATGAAATGTGAGACAGGCATGATCACTGGCAGAGCAGTGGGGAGGAAGGGAAATTAAAACCCCAGCCTGAAAAGTGCATGAGGACAAGACTGCTGAAACACAGGGAGAAGGCAATAAACTTCAGAGCTCATACAGAAGAAGCAAGAACCAGAACCTTACCCAGGGAAATTCTTCAGCATCTGGTCCCGGTAAAGCACCTTGTCGTCATCTTCCAGCAGCTCCCACTCCTTCTGTGAGAAATACACGGCCACATCCTCAAACACCTCCAGGAGCTGCAGTCACAAGCGTTACACCATCAGTGTCTCCGGTCCCACCTGCCTCCAGCCCCCACAGCCCTGGCTGCAATCACTCTGTGCTACAACTAGTCGCAGGCTGAGCCAGGACACGTAGGGGTGCAAAATTCCCCAGGATTCAGCTGACCTGTGCTGTGGATGCAGCTGTAGACACAGGAGCTGAGGTGTCGGCCTTAGCCCAGCTCATCTCGTTGTGTTTGCTTGGCCCCTGGAGGCAGCCTGGGCACCACTTTTAGTGTCAGGGAGCCCCGGCTCCCTGCACCCTGACCAGGCCTTCCCGTGCCAGTGCCCCTGGCTCCCTGCACTTGGGAGGAAGACCCTGCTAATGCAGCTTGGTGTGTTTGCAGCTCCATCACTACAGGCTTGTCTCTCTTCAGGTCCCTTGGCTCCCCAGATTCCTTACTGCACCCCTGGCTCCTCCTGGGCTCTGCCCCAGCTCTACTCCCACCCACACCTGAACTGGGTGCCCTGCTTACCTCCCAGCTCTCCTCCTGCTTTGGAGGCCTGCCCTGTCCCCTCTGCACTTGGCCCGGCTCAGGTGTCAGGGAGCTCCTCTCCTCCGGTCTCCCTGGGGAAGTCCTCTGCAGCTCCAGGTTTCCAGGCACCATCTCAGGAAGCTGCTGCTCCGCTCTGCTCAGGGTCCCAGCACCTGCGGGTGGGGAAGAGAGTGCACAGGTTAGCCCTGGTGCTGCTGGCACGGGGAAAGTCCTGCTCGTCTCCTGGACTGGCCTCGGACTAAGCATGGTGGAGGCTTCAGTGTGACAAAGAAGTGGCAGAAGGAAGACTCAACGTCGCGCAGCTCTTGCTAACAGACCTCCACGGGCATAAGGCTGGAGATGAGCCCCAATAACTGTGTCCCAGTCCGAGGTGGTGATTACACCATGTCAGAGCCTGCAGTGACATCGCTCCCTGGGAAAGAAGCTGGAGGGATG